AAAACACACTGAACCACTACAGCCTCTATTGTAGTATTGCTAGTTACAACAGTACAGTTAACTGTTAACAGGCTGATGAATGACAAAACTCTTTAAAACTTCAAAGCTTTAAATCTTTAGATACATTTAGACTCTCAGCTGTAAGGGTAAATACAGAAGAGTCTAGCTGTGCATAGGCAGAAAAAAAGCATAAAAATGGCATAAAAAACTGTGTAAACGTGATGACTCGAACACAAAATATGGCTTGATGGAATCCAGTGAGAGCAGACCACAATAAACACTGCGCATAAAGATTTGATCAATAGATTGAAGCACTAAAACCATGTCAACTCAACTAACATCTTACAAAAATTAATCCAGATAGTGAATAATATAAATTTATTGAATAATATATAATAATATAATTGTATTAAATAATACAATTAAAAAAAATTAAGTACAGTTGTTCATTTGAGGGGGTGGCGTCATTTTTAATTTTTGGGGGTCCCCGAAAGAATTTGCCCTACACAAAGGGGCCCTCAGCTAAAAAAGTTTGAAAAACCCCTGCCATAGTGTACCGTATGGACACTATAGCGTTTCTTTTAAAAAAGAAATGCAGACAGACGTACCTCTGGCTAGTAATTTTTGCTCCCCAGAAATTTAGACAGGGGTACATATCCACATTGAGCCTGGGCTGCAACTTGTGCACTTTTATTGTTGTCATCATAAGATTCCAAACTTGAATAACTTAAAATTTTATTTTATGTAATAGCTACAAATGAAGGTGTTTTTAATCTTTATTCCTGAAGCTCTTTTCCATATACTGAAAGCACCCAGTGACCCAAAAGAAGCACACTGAAATGTCACGATACACAGTTTATTTAGGCACTTCTGAAGATAAACAATATGTCTGTGTTAATATAGGCTATTATCCACCGAAAATCTTTCCCTAGGTCATATAATGGCACGAAATATATTTGATTTTTGTGAGACTTGTTTACAAGTTTTAATACACAGGGGTATCAATGAAATATGAAACGTACTGTATGATGCGATTTCCAACTTAACCCTTAAAACTCCTTCTAAACGGCCTGCATGAATACTTCTATGAGAATTTAGAATACATCACTTTAAAGTTTCAATTGCAACCCAGGCACATTCTGAAAAACCTAGTCCTGCGGCCGATGTGTGCGTTTTTTCACATCTTAAATGCCTCTCGCGATTGCCGTTCGCGCCCGCGCTGTTCTCAGTTTTACCGATTGACCCAACCGCCCGCTTACTTCAATAAAATATCTATTATCCCAATTCTCAAATACGTGTAAGAACATGTATTTGAATAGCTCTTATTTGTAATTTATAATTCTCTACATTATTTAAAAAAACTCTGTAAACTATTATTACTGTAAATTAACAATTGCAACTTTGCTGTAGTTTTACAGCAATTTTAACTGTTGCTTTACAGTAGGCTTATTTAATTTCACTGTATTACTGGCAACCAAAATTGCCAGTAATACAGTAAATGTACAATATAATTAGCTGTAAAATTTACTGTATCAATTTTGGTTGCTAGGTATACTGTAAAATTTACAAGTGCACTGTAAATGAACAATCACAATTATGCTGTAAATCTACAGCACAGTTGTAATTGTTTATTTACAGTGGGCTTGTAAATTTTGCCAATACTGCTGTAAAAATTGCCAGTTATACTGTAAAATTACAAGCGCACTGTAAAGTTTACAGTATCACTGGCCACCTAAATTTCCAGTAATACTGTAAATTTTACAACAGCATTTTACAGTGTACAGCCCCAAACATTAAGCTTTTTGTTATAAGGAAAAGAGCAGCATGCACATTTATCGGAATATCTCTTTTTGTGTTCTATTAAACAGACAGTAACTGGTTTAAAATGAATAAATCCTAGTCTTATTTGTCAGGAAAAATTAGTTATAGCCTACTTGACTGGTTGTTGGCTGGGTTATGTAACATCTAGTGGTCTGCGGTGGTCCAGTCTCCTGTGTGAGTCAAAGCGATCAGCCATCTGTCTGTGTTTTACAGCCTCATTGCAGTGCTCTTCATTAAAACACAGGCAGCAGCTTAGCACCTCACTGCTTGCTTTAATGAGCCAGTCATGTAAGCACACGTCTTCGTGTGTCTGCGTGTTTTGTGTTGTGCTTTTTACTTACATTATAGGAAAGAGAAGGAATGCATTAGTGAGGAAGAACGATCAGATGACTCTACTTAGCTATGATTGTCTCTTTGTTTCGTTTTACGTAATTGAATGCTGCAGAAGTTACAAGCTCTGAGTCTATTTTTAATGAGGAAATTGCAGGTTGAGTTCATGTTAATTACAGCATATGCGATCTTCTGTTGAATTGCAGCCTGTATTTTCTAAAAGAAATAAGAAAATGCTAATACAACTAAGAAAAATGTATGTATGTATGTATTTAAATGATTTAAAATACTTTTTTTTTTTAGTTGAGCACCCATTTGAGACTGATTGATAAGCATGCCTTTATTATTT